AGTTTTGCCTTTCTCTGTTTAACGTTATTAATGGGACAGTTCAGGGAGCGCAAGCATTTAACATCACGGTCTGAGATGTGGCTGACCTTTGTAATTAATCCAGCAACCTGTGATAGCATAGATTTGATCTGCCAAACAGTTTTCTGCCATGAGATGGGGTGACCCTCCATTCTTGCTTTACACCTGGTTTTCCAAAGTTCCCATGTAATAATAAGTGGTGCAATACCTCGAAGAACCCCTACCTGTGAAGAGCTAGACTGGCTTTTCCACCACAAAAACATCAGTCCTTTCCAGCTAGTAACGCTGGGAAGAGAGAGCTTGAAATGGGATGCAAAAACTGACCAAACTTTTCTTGCGATTTCCCCATAGCATAGCACATGATCAATTGTCTCTATTGAGGGATTAACACAGCATTCACATTTTGAAACCAATGGGATCCCAATGCTTTGAATTACCTCATCAACTGGTAAGCATTTTTGAAAGGCTCTCCAAGAAACAAAAGAAATTCTTTGGGGTACTTGGTGGTGCCATAGCCAACGTTTCCATCTACATATCGTCCCCTTTTTCCTTATTAAATCCCAAGCCGATTTTGTAGAGAAGAAACCATCCTTGCTAGGCTTCCAGATATAATGATCCCGCTATCCAGTAAGTTTTAAAGCCACACTTTCAATAGTCGTTGCATGACTCTCATTCAATATCTCCCTAAGCCAGCTGCCATTCCATTTACCAGTCGACGTCAACAGGTCTTTAATTTGCAGTTGTGGTTCCTTAATTTCCAACCCCGCCTCGGCCAAGCTTAGAGATCCAATCCAGTTATCATACCAGAAATTGGAAGAGCCATCCCGAACACGGCAAATCCCGGAACAGCAAAGGAAGATTTTTCTACCATCAGCTTCCACGCAAATCTCATAAATAATGCACGTTGAACTTCTCGTCTAAACCACCCTCCTCCACTGGATAACATATTTTCCTCCAGGAAACCCATTTTCGTTTCTTAGATCCATCAGTTGCGTTCCAGAGAAAAGATGAAAAAATTCGGTTCAACTCATTATGAATTCCTTTAGGCAGATTCAGGACAGAAAGAATATGAATAGGCATGCTGCTAAGGACATGTTTAATCAAGGTAATTTTTCCCCCAAAAGAGAGTAGACGTCCCTTCCATCCAGCCAGTTTCTTCTGAATTTTTTCAAGCATTGGTTCAAACAATTTGTTCAGTAATCTACCTGTGTAGAG